ACAATTAGTGATTATAGACTAAAATTGAAATAAAAAGGGTTTTTAAAAAAAATTTCTCAGCAACATAATCTAAGTACAGAGCTTCATTATTCCTGTTTCTCTCTGCACCACTGGTTTTGAATGGTGAGTCACGTCAAATAAATGCTTTTAATTGTTCTTGTTTCTTTTCTCCAAATTCTCAAATGCTAATCAACAGTTTTCTGCTAATGAAGTGTCCAAAACTAAAAACAGCATCCCAGGTGCTATCTGTCACCAGGGCCAAACAGAAAGAGCTATTATCTTGCTGCTTTATGACAAGAGGCAAGTGTCATATTTTTCTCACAATATTACACAGCAGACATGTATCTAGTATGCTGTTTAGAATCACCCTTGGGCCCCTTAAAGCCATTATTATTTTCCAGGTGTTGCCCTCTCTATGAAAAATTTTCTTTCAAATTGCTTTTCCCTAGATACATCTACTTGAAAATTTTCCAAGTCGAATGTCATTCTCATTGCCATATTGCTAATATTTTATATAATTTCTTTGGCTTTTCTGGTGTTTGCAGCATGTCTTCTTTTAGAGTCATCTGAAAATTTCATTAACATGTTTGTGGACAGGATGTAGCTAGAAGGGAATTGTTGAGGGACCCGTCTTCTATTTGTTTATTAGTTAGGTACTGGCTCTAGAAATAGAAAAGGAACCCATTCATCAAAAGTAGAATTTGCCTCTGTTCTTTTCTTATACACAGACATGCTCACACTTTAAATTGTTCTCAATTCCCTGAACCACTTTCTTTAAAAACAGACAAACCTCCTTGTCATAAACAAAAACTGTATGTTAAGAATCCCTAACATGAGGGTCATAAACATGATACCACTGTGCTTCCCTTGAACCTCCTGCAATCCTATTCACAATATATTCATATTATTATGTCCTAAGTGGATGCATAGCTTTCATTAGAACTCGAGGGAGTGCATGAATCCAAACAAAGTTAAGAACCACTGTTTTATATCTTATTTCCCAAAGAGTGAGCAAATCATCAATTCTATTGGAGTCGCATGAGATACTTATTTAAATAAAGATTCTTGGGACATACAGAATGGAAATAGAGATAAAAATGTACATTTAAAAATTAAACATTGATTAGTTTTTAAAAAGAAAACTGTGTTAATTGTTCAAAATTTAAAAGATCAAAAACGTAGTATCTCTGCTATCCCTACTTCCCAGCTACTAGTTTTTCTTCAGAGAGGAAATCTCTGTTACTAGTTTGTGTATTTTTCTAAAATCTCTTTTAAAAAATGAGAATCATTGTTTTACAAAGAAAAAGAATGAAATGTTTATCTGCATTAAAGATTGTCTCAAACTGACTTTTCTCCCCTGCACATTTGAGAATCAGATTATCAAAAGAAAAATATCAAACTATTCCCATAACTTTCAAGTTTTCCATCCCTTCTCAGTAGACAAAACATTTTCAATATTCTTTTCTGTTTGTCTAAAGGTTGTCACATCTGCTTTTCAGCTCCTTCTCCCTCCCCCCTCCCCCTCCCCCTTTAGGCTTCCACACAGATTATCTGATTGAGATGTTAAATAAACTGATTACCTGGTGGCCACAGTAAGGATTCATCTTCTGACTGCCCAGATGCTAGGGATTAACCATCCCTGCCAAAAAGAAAAACGAAGCAGAGGAAGAAGCAGAAGGAGAAGGTAAAGGAGAAGCAGCAGCAGAGCGGAAAGGGGAAGGGGGCAGGAGGGGGAGGGGAGGAGGAGAAAGAGGGGGAGGGGGAGGAGAAAGTGGGGGAGCAAGGGCGAGCAGAAGGGGAGGGGGGGGAGAAGGGGATCTCTTGATCTTTTTGAGTAAAACAAAAACACCTCTCCCTACCCTAGGCAGGAGCTTTTATTATTAACTGACAGAAGTACTTATATCTCAGAAATGTACTATTCACTTGTTTGTTGTAGTAGACTTTTTTTGAGACAGGGTCTCACTGTGTAGTTCAGGATTGCCTTGAACTCACTATGTAGTCTAGACTGGTCTCAAACTTGAAATGATTCTGCTGCCTCAGCCTCCTGAGTGCTGGGATTACAGGCATGCGCCATCATGCCTGGTGTGTTGCAGACATTTATACCTGCTCCACTGGCAGGTGCAAAACAGCCATCTCTACAAAATGGGATGGAAACTCTATCTCCCATATTCTAATTTAGGTCAGGGTAAAATATAGATTTGTGTTTTGAGATATAAAACACCGTCAATTGTGGAATGTCCTATAAAAGAGATTTCAAGTGCCAGCCCAAATCTTTAGCCCCAATATCATATCTGAAAGGCTAACAATTATTAAGAGACATGAAAAGTTGCTAGGAATCAAAGATTCATCAACTTAGCCAATTTGCAAAGTGAAAATACTTGGGAAGTATAGGCTAGGATGTTAGAAAACAGGAAACCCTAGGTGCTACTGGTGGAAAGTAATCTGGCAGTATTGAGTGAATGTATGCCCTATGACCCAACAATCCAACACTGAGGATATTCCACAGGATTTTCCCCACAGATCCAGTAGGATTCCCATCAAAGATTTCACTGTGTCTGTGGGAAGCTGATGATAATCTAAGTGTCCATCTTAAGGGAATGGATAAAAATAATATTTGATATGGTATACCATGCAGCATTTAGAAATAACAAACAAGAGTACATTCATCGACACAGACAGATCTAAAAAACATAAATGTTGCGTGAACATATAAGCAATGTCACTTTGGATGTCTCCTTCACAGTAGTAATTAATTAGTAGGGAAGCAATTTCTCATTCAATTCTGTCTTCTTCAGAAGACTCTAAGATCCAGGATGGCAAGGACACTGTCAGATATTTAGGCCTGGAACTTTGTCAATTAACAAGATAGATATTAGATAGATAAGTAATGAAATAAACAAAAGCATCTTAACATGTACATTCTTAAAGAACATAGTTATGATATTAGAGGCAAATAATTCCTCTTTCTAAGAAATGAGGAATTGCCCATTTTATAAACTAAGAAGATAGTGAACATTAAGATTCTGGGGAGCTATTTTTGGCAGCTCTTTCTTAGGAGAATCACACTGGCTGAACCTGTCCCCAGGAATCCTTGCAGTTACAGCAGGGATCTGGAAGCCCAGTACTTTTCCAGCACCTCTGGTTCAGTAAAAGGAAAAGTACTCAGTCTCTCAAGATTATCTTTACTCAGGTATATTAGCCCTTACTCACTGACACATAAAGGGGTGGGGGCCTGAAAACTGTCTTTCATTTCACAGATGAGAAACTTGGCAGAAAAGTGAATTGATTTTCATAAGCCTAACACTTGTTAATAATAGCACCAATGCAATTGGGAAGAGAATTATTTTTATAATTTCTCTCTCCCCCCTCGCCACCTCTCTCTTTTTCACATCATAAAATTATGCTTATAAAAACTCTTGACATGTTCAGTGGCAGAAGCAGACTAGAATTGTATATATAATGTATTTGTTTATACAATACATAAATATACAAAGACTACACATATGTATTTCATAATTTTTTGTGTACAACATAAAAATGAGCATACCACATAGCAATGAATTTTTATGTTAGAGATGCTGAAGGCATTATATGGAATTACTGTTACTTTTATATTTTAAAAAGTAATGCATGTAAATTAGTGCAGCCATTTTGGAAAACAGTATGGAGTTTTCTTAAAAAAACAAGAAACAGAATTACTATATGATCCAGCAATTCCACCACTGAGTACATATGAAAGGAATTGAAACCAGAATACCCAAGAGATGCCTGCACTCCCAAGTTCGTTGCCTATTTACAATACACAAGATAGGGAAACAATCTGTGTTTATCAATGGACAAACATTTTAAAATGTGGTCCATGCATACAATGGAATACTATTCAGCCTTCATAGGAAATTCTGTCATTTGTGATAATATGGATAAACCTGAAAGACAGTATCTTAAGTGAAATAAGCCAGGCACAAATGCCGTATTATATGTGAAATGTAAAAAAGTCGTGGAAGAAGAGAGTAGAATGGTGTTTACCAGGGACTGGAGAGTTGGTGGACTGGGAAGAGGGAGTTCAAGAGAAGCTGCTCAATGGCTACAAAGTTAAATTTAGATGGGAGAAATAAGCTAGCCGGGGGAATAAGTTTCTACTGCACAGCAAGGTGATTACAGTTAATAATAATTTATCATATATTTCAAAATAGCTAAAAGAGGATTTTAAATGTTTTTATTACCAAAAAAAAGATAAATATTTCAGGTGACAGGTATATTAATTACCCTGATTTGATGATTTCACAATGTACTATGCACACATCAAAGCTCTACAGTGTACTGTTATTGTTTATATCTAGATGTTCCCCAAGAGACTCATGCACTGGGGCTTTTGGAAGGTGACTGAATTATGCCATGCTACAGCCAGTTTGCCATTAAGAGGTGGTGTCTGCATAAAAGAAGGTCACTGGGAGCTTGACCTGAAAGGACTTATCTCCCTCTCTAGCTCCTCCTTTTTTTCCTACTTCCTTGCTACCATGACATGAGCAGCTTTCCTCTGCTATGCCACTCTGCCATGCCAGTTCTGATTGGAGCTGGTCACCTATGAACTGAAAATGTGAGACAAAATAAACTTTTCCTCCTTTAAGCTGTTGGTGTTGGATATTGCATCTCAGTGATGAGAAAGTGATCAAAGCATACCCCATAAATATATGCAATTATTTGTCAAATAAAAATAAAATAAGGGCTGGGAGGGTATATAGCTCAGTCGTAGAGTGTGTCCCTAGCATGCACATGGTCCCAGGTTCAATCCCCAGCACGAACATAAATAAAAGCTTTTAAAAATTCTGTGATTTCAGTATATAAATAGATAAATCAGACCTAGGGTAAATTCATGCAAGAGAAATGAAAATTTATGTTCACACAAAAACCTGCACACAAAATATTTATAGCTGCTTTATTCATAATTACCAAAAATAGGAAATAACTTCCTTAACTAAACAAATTATGACACATCCATTTAATGGTACTTACTCAGTTATACAAAGGGATGAACTAGCTATCAACAAATACAACAACATGGATAAATCTTAAATGTATTTTGATAATTAAGGGATTCAAGACCCAAAAAGGGTACATACAATACTGTTCTGTTTATACAACATTCTGGAAAATAAAACTAGAGGAGAAGAAAGGTGATTTTTGTTGTTGTTGTTTTTTTCTGTACTAGGGTTGGAACCCAGGGCCTCCCATAGGCTAGTCAAGCACACTACCAACTAAACTACAGCTGTTATCCCAAAGGAACTATTTTTTGTGGTTACATGCATATACATTCATCAAAACTCATAGAATATATCAAAAAGTGAATTACACTATATAAATTTTAAAAATAAATGTACAAAAATTAACAGGCCCACATGTTAATATATGCTAATGTGTATTAATAAAATATACAAGGAATTCAATAAAAAATTCTCCAAGACCTTTGTGGTAGCAGATCTATATTTTGATTGTGTTGGTGGTCACATAAATCTCTACGGGATAACATAATGAAGAACTATACACACATTACACCAATGCCTATTTCCCGCTTTTGATATTGTGCTACACCAAAGCTAAGATGCAAGCATTCAGGGAAAATGATTGAAGGATAGAGGGATCTCTGTGTATACTTTTTGCAAATTTCTGTTACTCTATAATTTCCTAAAGGTCTCTCTCAGCCAAACTTCCAGAGCCTAATTCTGCACCCTGGAAGTAAATGCTATTACATTTCTTATGTATTAGCTGCATTTTAAATCTAATATTTACATATATGAATATATTACATATAAATTTATTCATACTCAACACAAACAGCATATTATACACGTTGTTCTGCACCTTGCCATTTTTACTATTATTTCAGAGACTTTTTCCTGCTGCACAGTACTCCATTGCGCAGTGGCATTATACTTTTTTTTTCAATTTTCTTGATAGGCCTTCAGATCTTAACACATAACTGGACTTAAATAATTTGGAAATATTTATAATTTGTCAGCTGGAATTGAGACCAAACACTAAAAGTTTTCACAAATTCAAGCTCAGCCAAGGAAAGTGGCAGCAAAAGAGAAACGGAAATTTCCTGGGCCAGTGGGGAAGTGGTGGGGCGAGCAGGGAATTACTGCCCGGTCGGAGTTTGCTCAGGTGGGGCTGATTTATTGCTGGAGTAGGAGGCCATGCTCCAAGCCAAGCTTGCCCTGGGATACAGTTCATATATACTGAAGTGTGTCCAAGGCTTTGCTCCGTGTGGTGGTGCTTGGCCCTCCCCAGCCTCGGGAGGGGACACCCCTCCCAGGCAGGTTCTGCCCCCCCCCCCCAGCGCAGCCTAAAGCCCACGCGCGCAGGGGAAGCACACGTGGCGAGCTGCCTGAGACCGGGTTCCCTGCTCCAGCTCCTCCTCTCGCTCTTGCTCCGCTCTCTGCAGTATCACGTGCAGCCGCGCTGGGTGCAGGATGGCGGCGGCGGTGGGTGTCAGGCTGAAGGACTGCTGCACCCAGGGCGCTGTGCTCCTGCTTTTCTTTTCTCTGTCTCCCCGGCCCCCGGCCGCCTCTGCCTGGCTGCTGGGTCTGAGGCCGGAAGACACTGCTGGAGGCCGCGTGTCCTTAGAGGGGGGCACCCTGCGCGCGGCCGAAGGCACCAGCTTCCTCTTACGCGTTTATTTCCAGCCTGGGCCGGCGGCCCCCGCCACACCGGCGCCCGCACCTACCTTCTCCCCGAGGGAAAACAGCACCGGCGACTGGGCCCCGCGGCTAGTGTTTATCGAGGAGCCCCCGGGCGGGAGCGGCGTGGCAACCAGCGCGCTCCCCACGCACGCCCCGGGACCTCAGCGCTGCCGCGAGCAGAGCGACTGGGCTTCCGACGTGGAGGTCCTGGGCCCCCTGCGCCCCGGGGGCGTGGCGGGCTCGGCGTTGGTGCAGGTGCGGGTGCGGGAGCTGCGCAAGGGCGAGGCGGAGCGCGGTGGGGCGGGCGGCGGCGGGAAGCTCTTCTCGCTGTGCGCCTGGGATGGGCGAGCTTGGCACCACCACGGCGCCGCGGGCGGCTTCTTGCTGCGCGTCCGCCCTCGGCTCTACGGCTCGGGTGGGGACCTGCTGCCGCCCGCGTGGCTGCGGGCGCTCGGGGCGCTCCTGCTGCTGGCCCTGTCCGCCCTGTTCAGCGGCCTGCGCCTGAGCCTGCTCTCGCTGGACCCGGTGGAATTACGGGTGCTGCGGAACAGTGGCTCGGCCGCCGAGCAGGAGCAGGCGCGCCGCGTGCAGGCCGTGCGCGGCAGGGGGACCCATCTGCTTTGCACCCTGCTCCTGGGCCAAGCCGGAGCCAACGCTGCCCTGGCCGGTTGGTTGTGTGCCTCGCTGCCGCCAGGCTTCGGGGACCCCGGGGAGGACTACAGCGAGGCAGGGGTTCATTTCCCGTGGCTTCCGGTGCTCCTATGCATGGGCGCCGTGTTCCTGGGAGCCGAGATTTGCCCCTATTCGGTGTGCTCACGGCACGGGCTGGTCATCGCCTCACACAGTGTGTGCCTGACCCGGCTCCTCATGGCAGCCGCCTTCCCGGTGTGCTACCCGCTGGGCCGCTTGCTGGACTGGGCGCTACGTCAGGAGATCAGCACCTTCTACACGCGGGAGAAACTACTGGAGACACTACGGGCTGCAGATCCCTATAGCGACCTAGTGAAGGAAGAGCTGAACATCATCCAGGGCGCCCTGGAGCTGCGCACCAAGGTGGTGGAGGAGGTGTTGACCCCCCTCGGGGACTGCTTCATGCTGCGTTCAGATGCAGTGCTTGACTTTGCCACTGTCTCAGAGATCCTTCGCAGCGGCTACACTCGCATCCCGGTGTACGAGGGCGACCAGCGGCATAACATTGTGGACATTCTGTTTGTCAAGGACTTGGCCTTTGTGGACCCTGACGACTGCACCCCACTCCTTACGGTCACCCGCTTCTACAACCGTCCTCTACACTGCGTCTTCAATGATACCCGGCTGGACACAGTGCTGGAGGAGTTTAAGAAGGGTGAGCAGTGGTCATTTTCCTCCCCCAGGTCCCTTCCCCCTCAAAGGTGTGTTGCCCTTTCAAAATCATGGCTTCCAGTGCCCAAAGCAATTTCTCTGCTATGGTGCCAACAACTCGAAGAAGGTCTCACCTCTTGGCTTCCTGGCTATTTTCCTTTCGCTTCTCCTTCCTTCACTGCAACTGACTGAGCCTCAGGCTTCTTCCCTGCTACTTTTCTCATAAGCTGCACCATATTTCTCATTCATTCCATTCCACCAGTATATTTTCAGGGCTTACCAAGTGCCAGCTTTTGTGTAGATTGGACTCAAGATAGCACTTGAACTTCACTGCCTCACTCCCTACCCATTCATTACAAGGGCCCCACTATGACAAGCAGTCTTTGCTTTCAACTCCTCCAGGTTCTAGAAACTCACCATTTCCAGAGCAAACTCCATTGCTGGACAGCTCCAGCTGTGGACAATGTCTTCCTTACTCAGAGCAAAAATGTATGCCTTCAGAACCTCCTGTCCTTTGAATGGGGTTAGAATAAGCCCTAGACACTTTAGACGTTCTTCCCCATATTTCACTGACATCAGCCATTCATTGAACACACAAAATACTCAAGTTGGGGATTAACAGTTGGCTAAGGCAGTGGAATTCTTGTACTTTTAGGAACTTCAGCACCATGAAATCATAGATCTGAACCTGAGGAAATAATTCTACAGAGAGGAGACCCTAGAAAACTGGCATGTCCAAATGAATGAGGTTTCCTTTAGCACAGTCACTACCTCTCCCCAGCCTCAAGCTTGATCTTGTAACAAAGTATATGGCATAGTAACTTCCTGCCTGGGTTTGTCTTCAGAAACTGCGTTCTGGGGCTGAGTACAAACTCAAGAAAAACCAGCCAGGATACTTCAGAGTTGATCCTCTTGGGTTTATGTCTACCTGCTCCCCTACTTTACCACATGTGGCCCTGTAGAGTCCCCGGTTGTTTTTGAAAATCAAATCTACTTTCAAGAGACACCATTGAAATCATTCAGAAGATTATCTAACAGACCCCAAAACAACTCTATAGTTTGAGAATAGTGGTTAGAATAAGTGTAGAACTTTCCAGAATGACTACTTTAAAGGAGGCACTTATTTGTACATGAGTTGATATGCTTATGAAAAACAAACCAATGACCTGACTTTAGAATCAGGCCTTAAATGTAGCTAACAGGACTCTCAGTTACTCATTTTTAATACCTTTTTTGTTTGTTCAATAGCAAATCTCATTACGTTATCTTCACAAGTACTCCTAAGGGATTTTCATAAAGAAATCTAGGGTCTTCCTCCTGCCACAATATTTTGAAATTGTGTTAAATATCAAAACATACCTAGGAAGAGAAGAAAGTCTAAAAGCTACTTTCAGTCTCAGATTTGGGGAGAAAACAGGGCTAAACTGTGTGTTGATATCATGTGAAGGAGAGGGAAATGTGAACATGGCAGCTGCTTTAGCCTAATCTGGGATACTATCTCACACTTTTCTGTTTCTCTCCCCTGAATCCTTGCATTAATAATTCACACTGCACTCTGAGTTTCATCCATCAACTTATAGAATTATGCTTACATTTTCTGTAGCCTACAAAAATAGGGTCTTGAATCTGGGCATAGAAGCTATGAAAAAGCTGCATTAGACTAGAACTGCCAAAATACTACAGATTGGGTGGCTTAAACAACAGAAATTTGTTTTCTTACAGTTCTGGAATCTAGAAGTCCAAGATCAAGCTGTCATCATGTTTGGCTTCTTATGAGGTTTTTCTCATTGGCTTACAGATTGATGTCTTGATGTGTCTTGACATGAGTCTTTCCCATATCCAGTGCATCCTTGCTGCTGACTTGTGTACCTAAATTTCTTTTTCTTTCTAAGATACTAGTCAGATTGGATTAGGGTCCAATCTAATGGCCTCTTTTAACATAATCACTCTTACATGCAGTAGTTAAGATAACAAACAGTTAAGAAAATGTCTTGTTCTCATGTGCTACCAGAAGACATTTTTAATGAAACCCCAGTGAACTCATTCATTCATTTAGTATTTCTTGAGTATCTATATTCCACACAATTTAGGCAGCAGTGCAAACAAGACTGTCTCTAGGAAGTTAATGGGTTCTGTGGGGTATACAGTGTTAGTAAGAACACTCTTCAGAAGCAGGAATTATTAATCTTTGTGTTCCCACCACTTGGCACAATGTTCAGCCCACAGTAGGCTGTTCAAGAAAAGTTGATTTTTATCTGAAAGAGTCCCTGGGAAGAATTTCTAAATCTGGTCTAAAACTTGTGTTCTATTAATATTCTGCCATTAGGTAGATCACTAAAGAGAATTCCACCAGTGAACGCCATGCCAAGGAAGATATTTCTATGTCCTTTCAGAGCCTTAGCACTTCCTCAAAGTGTAGTCAATGAACCATCACTATTAGTTTGACTTGGAAGGTTATTAGAAATGCAGAATTTCATGCCGCACCCTAAATCCACTGAAAATGTGCATTTTAACAAGCCCTCAGGTGAATCATGTGTATATTAAAGTTTGAGAAGCATCATCTTTAGAGAACCCTTATTAACAGTGCTTTTTATATTTACTTAGTATAGAAGACAAGGGATAACTAACAAGCTGACTGTATCAGGCTGCAAAGCATATGCTACAGTGGTTAATTTCTTTGAGTTATGTTTGCACCATGGGTTAGGAGAGGCCAAGTTAAACTCTTTTACTTTTAAAATTAGCTTTCAGAGCTTATAATAGCTCTTACTTCTTGCATGTCAAATAACTTCACCACCTGAACAAACCCCTTAGGAGGTAGAAGAGGAAAATTATTATGTTAATAGGAGCAACAGTTACCATTAATTGAGCAACAGCTCTGCCAAGCATCTCACCAAGCCCTTTACATAATTAGAACAACCTGCTGAGATAAATATTAACTCCATTTTACAGATGAAGAAACTGACTCTGATGGATAGCATGATTTGCTCCACTTTCCATAGCTAGTAACTGAATTGTGATTGAACTAGGTTATAGGAGCCCACAGCCTATTCTTTTCCCCTGCTACTCTACTCTTTTCCCTCCAACCTGGAATTCCTACCACCTACAAACCTAGGCTTTTCACCTCTCACTTACTTTGCATGGCTGAGTCACCTCCAGTTTGTGAGTTAGAAGTGTAGCTTTTATAATTATAATGGCTGCTAATGTGCATATTGAAGTTAATGAAATGTTTCTATCCACCTTTGATCTTTTAAAAATCTCTGCATAGGGCCCAGGATTTAGCTCAGTGGTTCTGCCGCCTGTCCCACAAGTGCAAGGACCCGAGTTCAATCCCGGTACCAAACAAACAAACAAAAAAAAGTCTCTGCAGTTGGGCCGGGGATTTAGCTCAGTGGTTCCGGCATCTGCCTCGCAAGCACAAGGTCCTGAGTTTGATCCCCGGTACCAAAAAAAAAAATCTCTGCAGTTACAGAGTATATTAATAACCAGAAGGGTTATTTGGTCCACCTAAAGTCATCACTCAGCCAGTGTATTCTAAGATCCAGATTCAAACCCAGATCCTGTAACTCCAAAATTTTTTGTCAACATAGGATTTTATCTTTATACTTTATATGAGTTGCAGTTCTTCAGACGTGAGGAAAGGGAGAATGGCTTTTCCATTTGGCATGCTGGCTTCACAGAGAAGAACGGTATTCTCTCCATTGGACTATGAGTTCCTTGAGAGCAGAGGATGTTATTTACTTTGTAGTCACAGGAAAAGGATAGGGCCACCAATGCTATGGGATGTAATTATAAATATGCATTTATTGAGTAACTGGTTTTTTTGTGTTTTTTTTTAAATTCTTTTATTGGTACATTGTAGGTATACAACACAATTACATTTCTCATTGGGAATTGTACCTTTACATAATGCATCTTGG